TTTTGTTTAAATTTTTCTTCCATAAAAGTACCACACGAAAACCATGTAACCCAAAGTTTCAAACCTTCCAAAGGATTTATAAAAAATTACCAAACTTAAAAAAAATGGCCATCAAAATTTTAAACTTTTGAATCAGAATTTCTAGAAAATATTCGGATATGAGTTTTATAGCCCTTTCAATTTTAGTGCAAGTTCCAAGCGGCTAAAAACTAGCATTGATTTTTGAGAATTTTTTTTTAGTTGTCAGTTTGTTCGAAAACTTTTTTATATAAGATAAATGAGCAACCCTGTCAGAAAAAAAGAAGAATTTCACAAAAATCAATCGTGAGTTCTTAGCTACGTGAATCTTGCACAATATTACACTAAAATTTAATGACTACCAAACTGCAAACTCGAATTTTTTGTAGAAATTATTTTTAAAAAGTTTAATATTTTGATGACCATTTTTTAAATTCGACGATTGTTTAAAATTGTTGAACCAGTTTATATGGGTTTCACCGTGGTATAAACTATGTTTTTGAATAAATAGAAAGAAAAAATAAATGCACAAAGCTTGTAAAGAAAAGCTCTCCAAATCATGTGACCACCACTGTAAATATTGGGTACTTATTTAGTTTTGATATATTAAGAAATATTAGTTATATATTTGTGACACTCGTTATAACTAATCCCATAGTTTAAGCATTTGTTAGAGATTTGTGTCAGGTAATAAAATTAAAAAAATACACATTCATCCATAGACAAGTTGAAGTATCACGAAATACTGCATAGAGAGAGAGAGAGAGAGCGGAAATTGCGAAATTTTTTTAATTCTCAAAATGTTTACATATCTTCTTATAATAAAATAAATAAATATTATATAATTTTGTGTTGTGTGGTCCAAAAATGCATGTGAAAAAGTAAAGTCGGAAAAAAATGTATCCCTATTTTTTATTTTGAAATCAAAAAGTATTTAGGGATATAATTCTATACCATTTCTACGAAAAGTTCTTTTTTTTCCCATATAAAATGCATGAAAAAATTTGAGCGTTTCGAGCACTCCCTAAACATTTTTTGATATCAGGGGTACAATTTTTTCCTGTATAGAATAATCCTAAGGGGGTCCAATTTTTTACCACTCTACTACACATTGTGTTAAGCCAGACAACAAAAATTGTTCCGCTGCCTTATTCTCTTCAAGGTAGCTAGGGAAAATGGGATTGCCATGTATGCCGATAACAGTCATGTTTGTGTGCCACGTTACGAGTCCAAGTTGTCTGCAGTTCCATGTGCTCAATGAAGGAAAATCCTTGGCTAGACCGATTTCTTTGATTCTCTTAACCTCCATTTTGAATTTTGAAAATCTGACATCAGATTCGTAATTAGCAACCCCAGAAACCCACTGGAAACTAGATTCAACCCTTGAAAGTGCTTAAAACGTTCAGTATCAACGTTTTAATTTTAATATTTTTTTTTTATTTGATCGCCGTATTGGATCCGCCATTTTGAATTTTGAAAAACTGACTTCAAATTCCTAATCAGCAACCCCAGAAACCCCCTGATAACAAGTTCCAACCCATGACAACGCATAAATCGTTCAGTAACCACGTTTTAATTTTACTAGTATCTTTTCGGGGGCATATTTTCGGGCATTAGGCCCATTCTAACTATCCAAGACAGGTGTGTAAATAAGGGAATGCTCCCCAATAATACCAGAGTAATTATATGCAAAAACCACATTTTTACCTGAACTTTAACATGTCAAGAAAATAAAAAAATTGAGAACATCAGCGTTTTTATAAAAAACCCACCTGCGCGACCACTAAAAAAACTACTACACAGTGACACATAACGTGCTCTGCTGTTTCCTGTTCCTCGTGATACAGCTTGCACTGGTCAGAGTTAATAACTAAAAAGTTTGACAAGTGTTTCATCACCCTGCAGTGGCTATGTAGTAAGAAACTCTGTAAAAATTCCTACTACGTGCCTAGTAAGATGAACGACTGATTTGGTTCTCCTTGTTGGCATTTCCAGAATTAAGGATTCCGTTTATCTGCCATCTTGCGTAGTTGTCTAGTAATGTTGCACTTCCTTCTTTCTCCACCGAACGGAAGACTGATGAAAGGTTCTGGTCCTCGAAAATATCTGCCTCCAAATGGCGTTAGGTATTAAAAGCTGAAGGCGATCTCACAACAGCGTGTTTTTTAGTCGAACATTTTCTATAAATTGCCTTACAAATAGTTTAATGGCATGAATTTCGGCCTGAGCCTTTTGTATTGTCTAGTATAGTCTCTAGGTCTGTCCCGCCCGTATATCAAATGTGGCTGTTCTTTCGCAGTTTTGGTTATTAATTTTAATAGTTGGTTCTATTAGTGAAAACTGCGTCGTAAGTAAATCATCCGAAGACACTGGCCTACAAAGCTTAAGCGCAATGCTTCATATTTTCCATAGCCCTTAGAGTGAAAGAATATTTAAGCTTCTGATCCTCCACATTGTCCCCTAAGATGAGTGTTGCTGTAAAAAGCCGTCTTTCATTGTAACGCTGTGCAAAGGTGACAGGACAAGTAGTGCCTCGTGAGCAGCGCGTTGGTGTTGTAGTCATCGCTGCTGGAATGCCCACTCTGGCTAGTCATTGTAGTTTACTGTGGCAGGCTGCGTGACCAACTTTTGTTACTCCTGTATTTCTTTAACAGACGGGGGCCCAGCATATTTGGATCTGATAGGCCAGTTCCTCCTCATTAGCTTTCCGCATGTCCAGATGGAGCGCCTGGCCATTTGAATATCATTATCTCGGTGAGGATACCGTGAGAGTTTGTCATCAAGATATATATTTATCTTCTTTTATGTCACTGGCACTCAAATTTCAAAAAAAATTTATCTTCAGCTATATAGAGCATGATTTCTACAATGTCCTAAATGCTCCTCGAGCCAAGAACACAGTTATATTAGGATGGGTACTGGGGCATGACGGATATGATGACAACGAAGAGGCTGAATTTCTAGCGATACAAAGAGCAGTATTTCATGATCCGCAACCCGATTGTGGACTTATTGGGTAGACAAAATGTTCAGAAGGCACTGGATCAAATGTCCAGTGAAAGCAAACGATTTATCTGGCCTTCAAAAATAGCTTCAAATAAACTAATCAACTAAGGCAGATAGGACCTTAAAACTCTTACCTTCGCTATTACCTCAGGAAAATTAATATAATTCAGAAACAAACGTCTATCGTTTTGTAAGCTGAACGAAGAAACGCCAGAATACATCCTCTGTGAATGTGACGGTCTTTCTAGGTGCAGACTAGCTCACTTCGTTGGTGCTTGCTACACTTAATCTATTTGAAATTTGGAACAAACCGGCATTTGGAAGTGCTGGGGAGGGTTACGCTTAATAGATCACTTTAGAGGTTGCCCATAATAATAATTAAGAAGCGGCAATATTGGTGCAAATTGCATACGCTTTGTTTTTAGAACAAGTAATATTTTTTAGCAAAAAACAATAACGTCTTCAATTCTCATAATACAATTTTTAGATTATCGTTAATTTCTTCATGATCCAATTATCGGATTTAAACCAAATTAGTATGAGACCACCTGTGAGGTAATGCCTTTCCTAAAAAAAGAATTATAGAAATCGGTTAACGGGTCCAAAGTTATGCGGTAACATACAAAAAAAAAATGCAAAAATAATATTCCTACGAATTATAACCTTCTCCTTTTTGTGAAGTTGGTTAAAAAATGGTTTTACATGTGTACATATCTGTGCCGTTCAATCAAATTAGCCTACGTCGGGATATACAAAGGGCATGCAACATTTCATTGGGTCCCAAAAAATATTTTAACGTTTAACTAGCCATAGGTGTAGTTCAAATGTCCTTTTAATAGAAGCTTAATAAAAATGTAAAAATTTTCGATAGAAATTAATTATTTTTTAAATTCAAAGTCAAACCTTATAAAGTGACCTAAGCTACTTTAATTGAACGGCGCGGCTATAAAATCGTCTAGACTAGATCGAAGGTACTTTCCAGCGCAAGCTTTCCTTTTTGCTTCAGGAAATTCGCCGTTTTCGTTGTTTGTTATAGATTCGTTTTAGTTGGAAGAATGCCTAACCTAATTATGAAATATTAGGCTATATATTCCCATCTAAGAAAATGCAGTATCTACTTCTCTACGCATGGCGTTTCGCTTCATATTCTAATTTTTATTTTGTGTCCACTTAAAAAATGCCGAGTTATGCTTCACGAAAGCTTTAGCTCTTGAAATGCGATACAAGCTCTTGCAATACGCTCTTTACACTGCAGTTTGTTGTTGCTATTTTAGTAACTAATACTCTAAAGTAAAGTAATGAAACTAAATAAAGGCGTAAAAAAATAAAGAATTTCAATTGCAAACGAAATATGTACTTTCATTTCGAGTGCAAGGGCTGTGCGCATTTATCAGCCTACGCGGCGTATACGAAACCAAGAGTATTTCACGAATGCGAACAAGCAAGAGAGCAACAAGAGCCAATGCATTGTGTTGGGAGATGCGTCAAGCTGTTGTTATTTGGTGTAGGTAGGGTGCAATTGGCTGGTGCACTTGCACACATACGCAAGAACCTACTGCCCTATAAATGCAAAGGCAGCAGCAGCAAAACAACTAAATCAAATGATGCAAAGTAAATAGGCAGTACATATCCATACATATGTATGCGTGTACGTACATGTTGCTGGGAGAGGAGGACTAGTGAAGCATTTTAAGAAATAGAAAATATGTATAAGGAAACATCAAAGATAGGTATTGAAGAAACGTGCGCTGAAAGAATATACATATGACCACCGCTCAAGCTGAAATTAGTCAAGAACGTAAACCTACCGGTACGTAAACCCGAGTCAGCTGACACGATCTGTCTTACCAAAGCGCCATGTAAATGAAAACTCAACACCGCAGAATTTTTCTGTAGTTGTAGCCCGTAGCGCAGAAATCTGCGGAATTTAGATTTTTCCGTGTCAGCTGATTTCTCCTTCTTTAGATGGTTNATCGAGAAATAATTAAAAAAAAATTTAGTAAAATATTAAAAAACGCGTAATTAACTGTATGTAGGTAAACGTACATTTGCCTGTGCGAGTTTGCTGTCTGAAAAAAAAAAGAGAAAAAGAACGAAATTTCGGTAACGAAAGCGAAATCTATTGAAGGTTATTGTTTAAGTGCAGTGGTTCGATGAGACCCTGATTTTTAGACAACCAGCTAGTAGCCAGCAACACAATTAGCAGCAGACTTTGTGGCAAAGAAAAGCGGTAAATTCAAGATTTTCTATAAACTACAGTCAAAAAAATTACAACTGTGAGGAGCCAATTTGAAAAAATATAGAAAAAATTTAATACTCGTAAAAGACGCGATTTTCAAGTGAATCAAAATTCAGCAAACACGTGACTCTGCTGCTAATGAAAAACTTACATACGTATGCTTGTGTAATTTTTATATGTCTAAGTGTTTTCTTTTGCTAATGAGATTATGTAGTATGAATTGCGTGTTTTAAAGCATTAAAAAAAATACCATTTTCTAGGATTTTCAAAAAATATGTGCATACATTCGTACGTTTGAGAATAAATAAACTACCATAATAAAACAGCAGCAGCAGCTACTACATATGTATAATAAAGTTAAGTGAAAAATACTTCAATATTGAAAAGTCAGCAACAGCAACAAAGCATCATTAACAGCAGGACACATCCGACAAATCGCAACGAATTTCAATAATTTATAACTAGAAAAATTAAACGGATATAACTAATTTATTAGTCAAATACCAGCAAAAAAAAAGCGGTGAGCACGACGATAACAGCAGCAACACCAGTAACCCCTGAGAAATTACTAAACTGCAATTTTTATTTTTGAATCATCAGAACAAATCATTGTTCATTTAACAACAAGAAAAGATAAAAAGCAACAACAAGAGCAGCGTAGTAGATTGCAAAAAGTGCAATAAAAGTTACAATAAAAACATTTGTATACTTTATACTTATACATACATATATACTATATGTACACATGTACATTTGTTTGAATCTGTATAAGTATGCTTAAATAGAACTACAAGCAAGCAACAAAGCAAGTAAATACATACATATTTCAAGATTACATATTCGCATACAAATGCCTTCGATTCTATATATACATACAACGTTTTATATATAGAAGTCTGAAAGGCACTAACAGCAAAGGTGAATATTTTAATATATAAAAAAATACCTATGTACTATATTTAATTTACGTATATTTATACATATGTGTATGTAGTATTTATTTATTTATTTATGTATATGTATGTACTTTTATTGTAGTTAATTTAAATTCATTTTGAGATGACGCGATGAGCAAACCAGCGCTGATTGCCTGTAGTCACTGAGTGAAATAGCAGCTTTAATTGAAATTAATAAAAATTGCATAGCCATTGAATACAAAGCTTCTATGAGCTTGTACATA